AACTTTCAACAGTCACTAAAAGAATGCTCATAACTCGAGGACTACCTATATATAAAAATAATATTACTAAAGGATTTTTATGTCATTTCAATGAATTATCAGTAATTTCATCAATTTTCATCTTACTTGGAAGATTCTGAATATATTTTAGTGCACATGGCAATCTTTAAGTCAGTTTAAATGTTCCTGTTGTGATGGGCAATAGATTCATGTGACATTAACCAAAGAAAAAGCACGTTTACACAATTTGAGGTTATTTACCCAAGTATGGAAAGCATCGGAGGATGAGACCAAATAAGATGGGCCATATTCCATTTCCCCATATCAAACGTTGAGCAAAGGCTAAAGGAGATAAATGTGATGCAGAGGAGCAAGAAGATGGCTTTGAAGAGGATACATGGCAATCACTGGTAAAACTTGGGCTTAGCGTAGAAAACAGGAAGAATGAGAAAAACACAAGACTGCCCTGCCTTGACTCTGTTTGGCAGAAGGGAAAACAGCGACATTTTTCAATAGTCTATTGTCATAAGCTATAAATTGAGTTCTAGCATTTCTTGTGATATGTTTTCTAATCTGGTCTACTTTAAAGAGTTGATACATGGGATTCAACCAAATTCATCTGGGATTCAAATTGGGGCTCAATGACTCAGTGGTTAAAGATGCTAAGTTTGTCAGCCAGAAAGCTGACAGCCCAGGTTCAAGACTTGAGCCACACGACAGGTGAGCTCCTATTACTTACCTCAGTTCCTGCCCACCTAGCAGTTTGAAAGTATGCAAATATGAATAGATAAATAGGTGCCACTTTGGTGGGAAGGTAACAGCATTCTGTGCACCTTGGCATATAGTCACACTGGCCACAATACTACGGAAATGACAATGCTGGCTCCCTCAGCTAAGAAACGGAGATGAGCACCACCCCCTAGAGTCGGACTCAACTGGACAAGGGAAACCTTTACCTGGGATTCAAAACAGGATCCAGAATTATGCTGAAAAATGTACCCACAGCTGTTGAGTGCAATTATGCATCTTTTCAGATCTCCCAAGTCAACTAGAAGCTGGGAATAGAAAGGGGTAGGATGAGAGGACAACAATGGTGGAGGCAGAAAATAGACATTCTTCTGTACCAGGCATGTCAAACTCACGACGTCATGTGATGTCATGCGACGTATCGGGACTTTTCCCCCATTGCTGGCAATGGGATGGGTGCGGTTTTGGGGTGACGCATCCGGCCTGCTGGCCGGCAGTTTGACATGCCAGTTCTATACTCTCAATCCCTCATGCCTTCAAATACCTGAATAGGGACCTGGTTAAAATATCTGCAGATCCACATAACAAAACTAAGCGCCACAATTTTCCAGATTCTTAGGGACAGTTTTTCATAATATCCAGTGGTGGATCAGACACACCAGAAGATCTAGGGGAAAAAAGGGGAAAAAAACCCCTAAAGGTCAAAATTTTAAATTTCTATCAGGCCACCAAATCAGAAATCTTATATTTCCTTTAACCAAGCAAAGACCACTTGTTATTTCCAGTGTCTTAAGACAGTGAGTTCTCTCAGCAGTTAGTAATTCCTCTGCAAAATTGCCAGAAAGAACAATTTCAAGTAATTCTGAAAAGCCAGGAAAAGGGAGGAAAGGGGCGTTGTCTTACCTGAACGCCTTTTCTCAGCACGGAGATGGAGAATCCACCAAAAAAGGATGTTGTAACCTACCTAACAACCTACCAACAAGCACTGCACAAGTAATTATTCAAGACACCATTATTATATCACATATCATATCCACCTATAATAAGCACTTATACTTTGCCATTATGTCAAATGCAGATTTATGTCATTTACAGCAACTATAGCTAGCAGACAAATAATAATTGGAAAAGAGAAACTATGGTTTTAACCAGTGCTTTTTTAAAAAAAAAAAAAAAAAAAAAAGGTGCCGGAACTCACACACATTATACAACCCGCCTTGCCTACCCTACAAGGTTCCATCCAAAAAAGGTGTCGGAACTCCGTTCTGGGCATTCTATGAGAAAAAAAGCCCTGGTTTTAACTCATTCTTTCCTTCCCACCCCTGCCCAAATTATGATTTCTTTCTTTACATACTGCTTAAAGAGCTCAGAGTTACAAAACAGTAGAAATGCTAACTATACAACAATTAAATTGTCCATAAGACAGGCAGATATAAAAACAAAATAAACTGTGAACTGTCCAAAAAGACTTTAATTAGAGCTTTTCTCAACAACTCAGCCTTAAATCCTTATTTCCTGCTCATAAGAATTGACTCATACATAGTCTTAGTTACATCTTTCTTATAGAATACACTTCTTTTTATAGAACCAAGGACAGACTAACTATTCCTTAATGCCCAAAGGTTTGTATACATGCATGAAATTTACACAGGTGTTACTGCAGGTTTAACCCTTTGAAGTTATTTCCCATAATCATCCAACATATTCAAACTTACAATAGAAATTTATTAATTAATGTATATTCTGCAAAGCAACAATACAAGCTCAAGCTTTCAGATTGTTTTAATA